ATAATAATAATTGGTTAACTAATAATAATTGGTTAATAATAATAATAGGTTAACTAAACAATAATAATTGGTTAACTAATAATAATTGGTTAATAATAATAATAATAATTGGTTAACTAAACAATAATAATAATTGGTTAACTAATAATAATTGGTTAATAATAATAATAATAATTGGTTAACTAAACAATAATAATTGGTTAACTAATAATAATTGGTTAATAATAATAATTGGTTAACTAAACAATGGTACAGCCCAGGATGTTTGGGACAGTGGTTCCCAAAATGGGGCCTGCAGATCCCTGAAGGTCACTGAGACCCCAGACTTTTCATGATAATGCTCAGACATTATTTAGCTTTTTCACTGTCTTGGTCTTTGCACCAATGGTGCAAAAACAATCGTGGGTACAACTGCTGGTGACTTAGCACATATCAGCAATGACGCCAGACTTTACTAATCATCATTTTATCATTTATTGCCAAGCACTCGCAGAAAAAACATCCCAACAGCTTCACTTAAGAATGTCCTTGATGAAGCAGTAAAAATCACTAATTTTATTGTTCTTATTGATTAACGGATTTTATTGATCTTGACCCCTCAAGACACATTTTACATTTTAATATGTTCTCTGTGACCGCCTGGGAAGTATGTGTGAAGTACTTCTGCTATATAACAAACTAGGATGGTTGCCTTGAGAAAAAGCATTTGTGTGACTGAGTTGTGGACTAAAGTAGCTGCTTTTTTCATGAAACACCATTTTTATTTGAAACGACCATGACGGACAGCAGGGCTACATTAATATTTTCATGGGCTCCAGGCACTTTGGCTTTTTTGGGCCCCTTCCTCTATAAAAAGATATAACAATTATATTTTATGACTATGTTAGTATAAAGACAAATATATTAATGTTATATTTTAAAATATTTTATTCGATCTAAAAGAAGTAACCTTCCTTTTCTTCTTCTGATTTTAAAGAAGTTGAAACATTTTCATGGGCCCATAAAGTCATGTGGGCCTGGGCTCTGTTCCTAATGGAGAAGGTGGGCCTGACTGACAGACAAACTGTGGTTGTTCAGACTTGGGTGTGTGCAAGGCTGAATCCTCCATGAGGCATAGTTGTAATATATCATGTTAATATATTTGTCTTCACACCAGTGCCGGGGTTTTTTGTTTGTTTTTGTTTCTGTTTTTAAATGGAGGAAGGGAGCCCAAGAAGGTAAAGATGCCTAAGGCCCAGGAAAGTCATAATGCAGCCCTGTGTATATGGTGGACATTTTCTTGAAAATGAATAAAATGAACTTGTCACTTCAAGAAAGGTAGTTGTGACATTATGTTGCCAATGGTAAATTTTAACTTACAAGGAAAAATTACAATATTGGGAAATTTGTATCTGCCACCATGAGCTTGAAATCTTCTCAGTACTTAAAAACCTTCTGTTGATATCAGCGGTGATATTAAGGAATG